CCTTGGTATGTGTGCCTAAAGCTAACAAAGGGCAATATTGTTATGGAGTCTTAGACTCGGTATTTAGAAAGACGATGAGAAACTAAACATCTAAAACAAGAGACGTAAACTATTCCAAAATAATTTAATAAATGATGACTACAGAAAATACAATCAATTTTCAAAAGACCACTTCTGGTGTTACATAAGAGTAGAAGAGCGCCACTACGCCACCCCTACACGAATTAGCTCAGGAAAAAAATAATCAGAATCATATTATTTTTTAGTTAAAGTATCAGCTTTTTCGTTGTGGGTCATTAATGTTCTTAAAGTTGCCTGAACCGAGTTTGACTGTCACACGCAATCCATCTCGTCAGTCGTCACATCATCACCCACAGTCTGTTGGGCTGGCCGGCCACAGGTCTCTCACACGATCCAGCAATTTCGACGATCCCAGTTCATCCAGGGCGCCACTGGAGGCTGAATTATCAGTGATAAATTAAAATAAACGTTTTTATTTCACAAAACCGACATTCGTTTCAATTGTTTTTCAGATAACTTTTTTTTAATCAATAAATACACTCTTCCTTTTAATAAAATAAAATACAATTAAAGTGACATCGGTAAGAAGTCCTTACACGTCTCGAAGAAGCAAACTAATATTGAGACTTTTTTTTCAAAAATCAAAGTTGCACCAAATAAGTTGACCATGAATCAACACAGAAAGTCAGCTCAAGAACTACAACAACGCCCTGAAGCCAACTGCGTTGTGGTTCTGCGTGGCTCTAAGATATAGCTCGAAAAACTGCAAGTTGAGATACTAAATGATGCATGTGCTCTCTTAGTGTTTTCTTCTGGATAAACACAATGTAAAAGGAGGTTCACATCTAAGGGCAGCTTAGCTCTTCAATGGAACCAAAATGGGCCATCTTGTACAGTGATCTATAAAACAGAAAACATAATGATTAGCATTTATAGTAACAGGTAATGGTCCCAGGGTCACTTACTCGTTCTAAAGGCCAGGGAACTTTCATGGTAAGTAATTACTTTTGGGGCCAAAAACTTTGTGTCTGTGAGTCTTTCATTGGGCTCAAGAACTACAACTGCGCACCCAATTATCAACATCTTTATACGTTCCTTTCCAAAAGTAGCGAGGGCAAATTTTGTTCTAAGTTCTGTGAAATCCAAAATGGGCAGCAAGGACACTATCATGGCAATTTTCAAGAACTGTCTCTACAAAAAAGGTATATACAATTGATACACATCTCGTTCTAGCATGTGCCGATTTGATGGAATATTCCAAATATGATATAGTATACCGTCTTTAGTACAATACTGATCGGCTTGTAGTATGAGGTTTCTAGCCTTTCTTTCATCTTCCGGTACTTCTGTTTTTCCAGAAAAATAAGCATCCCACCAGCATTTCATCTGTTGTTAGTGCTTGTTTGAAATTTTTCGAGATCAATTCCAGTTGGAAGTGGAGGAGCTTCGCTTTCTGTACACTCATTACTCTATATCCTTTTTCCACACTGATATCTCAAGTTCCTTTCAACATTTACACTTGGATTTGATGACTCGATTTTATTAATACACAGAGCTTCATCGGCTGTATCATCAAATTCTGTTTCTACCCAACTGGTATCCATTAGGCCTATTGTTGGAACAGTACTATCTGAAACATGACATTGGTTACATTCGGAACGTGGTCTATCATAACTAATTCTGCTGGGTGCATCGATATGACAATATCACCCTTTAACGTGTACAACTTCAAAAATATATGACTGCAACTTTAAGGCCCAGCGTGCTTGTCGACCAGTAGCATGTTTACTGTCAAATTACCATATAAATGCAGATTGGTCAGCCACTACAGTAAATTTAACTCCCTGGAGATACTGCGCATATTTCTTGACAGCTTCGACAATTGCAAGAGCTTCTAATTCAGTAGTACTGTAGTTGCGTTCTACATTATGTAATGCTCTGCCACCATAAGCACTTACTCTTAAGGCTGTGCCGAATATTCGAATAACCAAATATTCGATCGATTGTCGAATATTGAATATTGTTTTTCGATTTTGAATATTCGAATGCAAAATTTATGAAAAGGATGGGAAAAATTTCTTTTGATTTAAATGACAAATTTGCATCATGGAGGATTGCTTCAAGCAGATTCAAATGAAAAGTGTCAGAAATCTTACAACAATTTAAACAGCAGCAAGTTGGAATGCGCCCGTTGACAGTAGATAATGAAGCTACAAGGAAAAAAAGAGGTCAAACTCCTCAAAGGATTAAGTAATGATGTGTGCGATGTATTAAAATGACACCATTCACGATAAAAAAGTGTTTTGGCTGACCCTTTAAGCAGAACATCAGATAGTGATGATTGACAAATACAGACACGGGAATTGAGTATTATTATTGAGGCTTAGACGCAAAGAGACGAAGAGAACTAATTTCTAACACAAAAGACGTAAACTCGGCTTCCAAAATAATTTAATAAATGATGACTACAGACAAATACAATCATGTTGTGACGAAGCCAACGCCCTAAAGCCAACTGCAACAAATAATGGACACTGGCTTACCTCTATAACCATACAAGAACGGGTGGCATCAAAAGAATTTAAGGATCTTTCAGAGGGCCACTTCTAGTATTACATAAGAGTATGTACGACAGTATTTAGATAGAGACTGGGGCCCAATTTAATAGACGGGTTTGCATTTTATTTAAGCTCAATGCAAAATGTAAAAGGTTCAGCTCTCGGTGGTGGTATCTGGGGACGGAGGGGGCATATGCATTTAGTCATAATTGGTCAGATGAATGTAACTGGTTGGTTCCCCGCAAGATTAATTTTGAAAAGACTCAAGAAAATGCAGAAAGATAAGGCAAAAGGTAGGCCTACTTTGGTGATTCCCTGTGGAACTCGGCCCCTTTTTGGCCCTTGGCCCTGTGTCAAGAGCAGCTTCAAGGATTTGCCAGCTCAGCCCATTCAGGTAGAGGTTTATCTAACAGAATTGCTTTGGGAAGGCGCAGCGCATCGTGTCATTTCATTAGCAACGTGGAATCAAGTGTGCACGACATGAACGGTTTTTAGATCTCACTAACAACGTTTTCGTCAAAAACCTTCGTGAGTTGAAAAAAAAAGTCCGGTCGTGAGACTTCCAAACAAGATGTCACTTCAGATATGCTCATTGAGCTCTGTAATAAGTTCCAAGATAGTAATGATTTTTTATTCTAAGAAATCCCAGTATAACTATGGCTTTTGTAGGATTCTTAAGATTTGAGGAATTAAGTTCTCTACGACGTAATGATATCTGTCTCGTCAGATTATTTCACATAACGCATACAAAAGAGTAAGATTGAATGAAATTCTAATTGCTAAGGTTCAAGCGTAGCTTGTCCATATGTTGATGAGATATATGTCAGCAGCAGGGATAAACTCAACAATGGATAAGTACTTGTTCAAATCAGCATACAGATCAAAAGATGTGTGCACATCGGTGTCAAAGACAAAAAAGTAGGCCTAAGTTACACCATGGCCAGGGAATGCATCCTTGAAATGTAGGACCTCTTAAATTTATGCTTACACTCCTTGAGGTCGGCAGGCGCAACAGCAGCATCCAATCGAGAGACATGGAAGGTGGAGAAGAAACGAAAATAGAGGTGGCTACATTCAAAATTCACTGGAAAAATGATAAAAGCTACACATGTATTGGTTTGTATGTTGTGTCAGATAAAAAAAAAATAGTGCAGAAAATTGCAGAAGGTACATGGGATAAATCAAAAAAAGAATGGCCATAGCTTACCAGGTTTAGCTCGACCAAATTAGGAGATGCACGCATTTTATGCAGTTTGTTCCTGTAGTTTTCTAGAACATTTATTTCATTGTAGATCGGCCAAGAAGATTATACTAGTTCAGTTTGTATCGTCTACTCGAAATGCCGAATTCAGACAGTTTTGGTTTGACAAAGATAGATTCCTGACATGTGTCTTTTCCTAAATACGGTATACATAACAGTTTTTCTAACTTCTTAAAATAGGCGGAAGAGCAGAGATGAGATTTAAATTGGAGCATATAGATTGGAACCTAGCAAGCGTGATGAATTTAACAGAGAAAATTTTCTTTGGTTGGATGTGGCCCATTTGCTTGAATTCAGAGAATAAACCTTTCAATCCACGAAAATGGTTACAGGTACAAGGTACATTCTTGGTGTATAGATTCTAACTTCAATGCCAACTGTCAAATGGAGTTGACTTGGATGACTACTTAATACATGTCAAATTTTCCATTCCATAGTGCTCCAGGTGTAAAGTTAAGAGAGTTTTGATTCATGTATCCTTGCTACAAATCAATATATCTAAACCTTTGATTTGGTATTTTTCTATTAATAGCGCTCAAAGTACTCAGCTATCGCCTAAATGTAAAATGTGTTGCTGTAATCACTTGTTATAAGAATAGATAAGACAAATGGTCCGTAATTGGACGAGGGAATGCGTGCGGCCTAGTGATGCCATGCATGCGGCAAAAAAATTCATACTCGATCCTTAGCATTGATGAATTAATGACCAGATCGGGGGAGTGAATTCGTATAAGAAAAATGGGGCTCATAGGAGGCTTTTCACAAACTTTGGGGGTGGGGCATAGGTCCAAGGATGCGAAGGGAGTCCAATTAACTGGCCCTTGTCAGGCGAAGGGAGTCCAATAGGCTGGCCCTTGTCAAGGGCTAAAGTACACGCCATTATGCAGAGTATAAAACTATTATGGGCCTCCGAAAAAATGTATTTACCAAATGAAGAAATCTAAACATGCCAACTGAAAGAGTCTCTTGAACAATGCTGATCGTTTATTTTTTAACCTTGCTTTTGTGAAAAATTAAGACGCACCGTATCAAACTTTATAATATTTCCCTTTCTTCAGGAAAAAATTTAAGAAATGGTTAATCTTAAAGACATGGAGATGTAATATTGAAGAAAAAACAAACCAACAAACCAAACAAAACTCGTGTGTTTTCTGCCGCAGATACAGACTGAGACCCCGCGTTCTACGAGATGTCTCTCACCGTGACATGCGTACCACCTTGCTGGGTCAAGAGATTGCTTTCCCGGTAGCCGTGGCACCTACAGCGGCGCATTGCTTTGCTCACATCGAGGGGGAACTGGCCACTGCTAGAGGTGAATGCATTGATGTCGATATTTGTGGAACAGAATAGCCGGGGCGTGGCGTAAATCAACTTTTTGACTGCGATGCACCCCTACTGTGTTTTGTGTTAAGAAAAAATGACGAACTGTGAGGTATTTTTGGAACTTCTCAAGAGAGAAAATGCATTTAGAATGGTAGTACCCAAGAAGAGGGGAAAATATCACCCTTTTTAAAACGCGGCGTTTTAATGTAAAAGGTAAGAGCCTAATTGTAAGTATATACATCTGTATCAAGAGCGGTGCCGACTAGCGTCATGTGTGATGTCCAGTCACCTTCCCTCTTTTGGAATTTTCACGGCTAAGCAATATTTGATTTCAGTTATACCCTGATTTCCGGCACAAACTCACGCCTTTGTGACGACATTACTTCTCAACCGATCTTCTTCAACTCATGAAGGCTGTCCAATTCGCCACAATGTTTTGAATTGATTTTGAAATTTTCTGCAGAAAGTCTATCTTTAGTGATATCTCATCTTTTACTTCCTTTCACGCCTGTCCTTTATAAGTATAGCAAAATGAAATTATAAACTCCGACCTTGTCGGTCACTACCATGGTTTATTAGTCTCGCTTGTAGACAAGCGTCTATGACATTAGTTGAACATTCGCTGATTAATAACTGTTCAAGATGACGCCCGCTTTATACCCCTAGATCTTGACCGAGCAAAAAACAAGTTTTGTAGGCTTTTGACTATCGCAAGCTTGTTGACGTCAAGGAAAACATATGTCACGCATGATAATCCCCTCACCATTTACAATGAAAATATTTTTTAAAATCAGTCATGGGATAGCTGAGCTGTGTGGGGCCGCCCCCGACCGGGAGATGGTCCAAAACAACACGCCCCTTTCAGAGTTAATGGTAACAAAATGTTACACCATTAAAACTGTAACGTAATACTGATTGTATGACAGTTGGTTTCTTAGAACAATACAGTTAAATCTGTTAAAGCTTATATACTGTGTAAGGGACTTTCAAGGAAAAAAGTGCTGATTTAACCTTTTCTGTAATATTAGACCAACCTTCCCACTTCAATATTCAACTTATGAGGTGAAGTTGTAATTCGAGATAAGTTGGAATCCGATTTAAAGTACTATAAAACCTCAAACTTGATTATCTTCATTTATACCATAGTCCTTCGCCAGCTCACTGGACCGTCTGTAATGTCAGTATTTAAATCGATAAACCTGTATTGCAACAGGTCAGTCAAACGGCAGAATAAGGCCCTCTGATATTTTGGTATTCCTGAAATTTCAATGAGAGCATTCCATTGATCTGAATCGAAACATTTACGTAATCTAATAAAGGAAACCTAGGCTTTACGACGAATTCCGAATTATGAATTTTGTTCACGAAATGCGCTGTACGAAATAAAGCTAGCTGGCCTGACGGAAATATGAAGCCAATACTTAAAAAAATAACATTGTTATCAATATTCAATGGAACTGACAATTGCACCATAAAATTGCATCAAGCGGTATGTTTGTGTTGACATTTAAAATAAATTTAAAGCAGGCTAGCTGAAAAGTCTCAGCAAATTTAAAAAAATTCCTTTCCGTGTTAAGTCACAACCCTAATAACAACCAATAAGATCATTTGAAAACTATTCTGAAAGCTTGAAAATATTTACAGGCTGCAATATTAGTGTTGAAAGTACATGTATGTACATGTAGTCTGATTTTATTGACAGCTGCCAAGGCTACAGGAACAGGAATGGTGCTAAGTTCTGGCACCACCTCGACAATGGAAGATGTGGCTGCAGCGTCGTCACCAAACGGACTGCTCTGGGTACAGCTTCAAATATTTCGAGACTTTGATATCGTCCGTTCGATCATTATGAAGGCGGAAAAACTTGGATACCGAGCACTAGTTGTGACCATAGATTGTTCAGTGCCCCGCAGAACAAGTCGGAGGTCGCTTAAGCTTCCACCGGGGAAAGGGTAAGTTTGGAAACGTATGGAAATAACAAACTTAAGTCTTAAGCTTCGACACGAACGTTTTTACTGGTGGATCTGTTACTGTTTTCGACAGGGCTCCCGGTTTCTTTTGAATAGATAACCAACGAACAAACAAATTGATACTGAATGCAGATTAGTGACCTGACTTAAATTTGTTAAATTTAGCACCTGCGGTGTTATCAGAAGACTACACCAACACTTTTCACTGGTGTTAAAATTTTGGAGTTATTTGGTGTTAAAACACCTTCTAGTGCACTGTAACACTTATAGGTGTGCAAAGTAACATCATCTGTGTTAAAGTAACACCCTATGCTGTGGTCATCTGATAACACCCAAACGTGTTGATTTTAACACCCGAGTTTGAAGTGAAAGCTAAAGGGATTGTAGGATAGGCCTAAATTATATCTACTCGGTTTCTTATAGATCTTAATTATTCAGTTATACCCTGACTTCCGGGCACTACTTTTTAGTTTTCATCCCCATCCTTCATATTTTGTTTTCTAATTGACAGGCTAGCTCATTTTCCTGGGGTCGATATGTCAAGTTTTGGAGCAAATATTACCAACGACAGTGTAACCTGGAAGGACATAGACTTGTTGCACAGCATCACCTCTCTTCCTGTGGTACTGAAGGGTATTCTGACAGGTAAAGGCAAATAGGCGGTCTGTGGAGAAACCAGAATAGAGGAAAATATTGCCCATTGATGAAATATACGATCGGCTTGTTGGCTACTTGCAGGCTGACAGCCGGTCAAGTTGTTTCAAGCTTGCTGCTTACGGGATGACGTGATTGTTCTTGAGAGCCTTGTTCCTCCCTTCTACTCATAAAATGGCTGATTTAACAAGACATTGTCTCTTCTAATGGAATGTAAATTAACAGAAGAAGATGCTCGGGAGGCCTTGAAGCATGATATTGCCGGGATTATCGTCTCCAACCATGGGGGTCGCAATTTGGATGGTACTTTAGCCACGGTAAGTGTTACACGTTCAAACAGAAAATATATATCTACATCAAGAAAACATTTTTGAGAATTAAAATGATAAAAATATTACAAGTACATGTCAAAAGTGTGTTCAAATTTTTAAACATAAACGGAAAACTTTTTTTATCACCTGTGGCCTCGTGCGCTCGGGAGGAGAACAATTTTTACTGTCTTTTTTTTTGTCATCCAAAATATCAACTTGGACCAGAAAATAGCAGCTTAGAGGATTTCTTCAGAGAAATGTACAACATTTCGGAGTACATGTTGTTGAGAGAAAGTTGAAAGTTATTTTTTAACATATAATGAGGAAGGTTTGTGTTTCTTTCCATGCAATTTGCGCGTTGTTCTGTGTGTTTTTTTATAAGTGTTCCTCGGTTTTAATAACTCAGGTTTGATGTTCATGTATAGCAGTATTTTTTTTCTTATCGTAATGATTACTTTTGTCGACGAATTTTGCTTTTGTAATGATTTGTAACGTTGTAACGTTGTAACTTTTACTTCAAATCATGTGTGTTTTTCACTGTAACTTCGCCTCTGGCTACAAGAGTGAGAAATAAAAAAGTGACATCAAAATTTGCAACCCTGTTGATTTCAAGAGACGCTCACGCTTGGTGCTTCCACGGCCCTATATACACATTCGCAAATAATTACTAATTTGTTACTAGACAAGTATTATTACTAAAACGGGCCATTGGCCATGACCTGTCGTCAGCATTTCCTGCTCTGTTGACCTCTTCAGTCATCGTGCATCGTTAGCTCTCCTTAACTTTTCGTTTCATATGCCAACCTGTTCAGTTGAACTTGGAATGTTAAAATCCAATTTGATCATGCAGTTTGAAAATACATTAGAACTGCGATTGAAATTGTTACTCGATTTTGAATAATTTTGAGAGAAACTATAAATCTCTAAGCATACATGCTTTTTCAAACATTCATGTAGATCGATGCACTTGCTGAGGTAGTGGAAGCAGTGCGTGGTTCCAATATCGAGGTGTATCTTGACGGAGGAGTACGGAGAGGCACCGATGTGTTGAAGGCGCTGGCCCTGGGAGCGAGGGCCGTCTTCATCGGTCGGCCGGTACTTTGGGGACTCGCCTATGATGTAAGTCTTCATTAAGTTGAGTCAACTTTTTGATGCAAGAGACACCACCAGCTGTTGTGATTGACGAAATGCGTAAGAATGAAACGTTTGGACGGAGGTCCACCGTCCATGGCCACCCACTCGTTTAACATGGCCACCCACCCGTTTAACATTCACCTTTTGCTGCTAAATAGTTTGACGAGTGGTGATGGGGCAGTGTTATGGAGAATGTTGCTTCTTAGGGTGCAGTCCTGGCACTAACGTATAACATATCTGATTTCCCAACCTCCTTAGCCAAACAGTACATGAGTGCTGATGACGTTACTCTCAGATTCTGCCAGGCATGTCAAGGAGGTAGAGGAAAGGCTTTCTTGAAGACCTTGAAGCTGAAGCCGTCTGTATGTGCTCACCCCACTGAGCCGTCTGGGTACCATTTTTCTCTGGGAATCAACCATCCGGAGACCATCATAATTAAATCCAAAAACGGCTGAATCAGAAAGCTGCTCATCCTCACCACCTTGTGCATGGTATCTGCCATGAGAAGGAGTTTTGAATACTGTATAGTTTACGATAACAGTGTGTGTGGCAGATCTTCATAATCGAAGGGATCAGGAGAATTTAGGGGTCGACTGCGCCACGTTATGGCGTTTGTGACGTCAGCGTCTGGCTTCGGTATTTTGTAGCTCAGTGTCTGTGATTGCAGCGTTGATGCCATCTTTGGTTACAGCTCGCCATCTGGGACGGTGCCTTGCCAGATTTTCCTTCTCAGTCGCCAGTTGCAATGGGGGCGGCGTTAAGATGGCGTTTGATGACATCTGTAGCGTAGCATTCGTCTGCCTGGCCGTCTGGGTGAATCTGTACTCTCACCGTAGAGCAGTACCTTTGGCAGTCTGTGCTCCTCCGTGCGCTCTTCCCATTTCAATATCTCCAGCCTTTGCTGAGATTTAAGGTGCCAGAACGCTCGCGACCCGCACAGACACCCTGAGATAACTCCTCAAAGCCCTATCAGTACGTTAAAAACGCGACTTATGACGAAAGGGGTAGCTGGGTTTGAAAATCCTTCTCCTAGCCTTTGACTAAAAAGGTCTTCCCACATGGCAGCAGGGGTTCAGAGAGAAAAGAGGCCGGCAGACACAGCTGCCGGCTGAAGGCAAAGAACCAGTGTGGCTCCAGGCAGACCGTCGACTCAGGAGACACCCTAGTTCATCCGCTCGTGCCAAATACATGTATGCAGTCTAGTACAATAACAGTGTAATAACACTCATAGCTGTTAATAAACAAGTTCAATGAAGCAAAATGCCACCATAAGAAGCTTGCTGGTAATATAGTTTAATAGTCTCCTGAATTATCACCCCCCCCTCCCCGTGTAACAGCTTTAGCATCATTTTTCTTAGATCTCATCACAAAAAAGGGGGAAAACAGGAATTCGAACGAGCTGGCGTGCTAGTATAGTGAGTAAGGAAAAGGTTGAGTGTGAATGGTCATTGCTTGATTTCCATATGGTACTTTTTTCTCAGTCGCTACTTATTATAATTTTTTGTAGTTAGAATCTATCAATTGCGGAAATGTTTTTTCATTTACTACCCAAATATGTAGCCTTGACGTTTGTTTCAGTCAAGTTGAAAACGCTCGCTTCAACTCATTATCGACGTGAGCTTCATTTATTAACAAAAATCTGTCTAGTTTGATCTTGTTTATGGCCTGGCAAATCGAAAAACTAACCGTGTGCGGTGATAATGGATTGCTTGCTATAATAGATTGCTTGCTACGAAAGAGGTTTCTTTTTTCCCTCCACAGGGAGAAGGAGGAGTAAGGAAGGTTCTTGAGATGATCAGAGATGAGTTCAGTTTGGCAATGGCACTCTCAGGTAAGAATCTTATCTTAATCTTTATCTTAATGACATCTTCACTTCTTTGAGCGGGACAGGGTTTCTCGGTTTAATCAGCCAGCGAGTTGTGTGGGCCTCCTCTGTGCTGTTGATTTCGTAACTGGGGCATAGTGACTACAGAATAAACTATTTTTCGTGATGTATTTAGTCCTTTATTCCACGTGACATGTTATGCTGTTCTACCCTTGATCCCACAGGCTGTCGCAGCGTGGGCGACATTACACCAGATCTGGTTGTCAAGCAAACATCATTCTCTGCCAACTTGTGAAAGCTTCCTCAACATACCAAACTTTATTACATTAAACTTTTGTGTCGATAGCATCAGACTCCGTAAAATAAATGAAAAAGCCAGTGACAAATTAACTACTTATCAACTAAAGAAGAAATCCGGAGATGAATTAACTGATTCCACGGGGGTCTGCTTTTGGCAATAGCTACATGCGATGTATGTACACTCATGGGAAAAAAGGCACCACCACCGCTCACAAAAGTCGCATTTACAGTTCAATACTACTTAACATGACCTCCATTTGATTCAAGAACAGCTGTAATTCGTCGCCTCATGGATTGACAGTAATGTCCCAGCTGGTCCTGTGGGATAGCAGCCCTTTCTTCCTCCAGGGTGCAGACCACTAATTCAAGTGAGAGTTTCCGGCCAGCTCATCAACATTAAAAGTGCACCCACAGTATCTTTTGAAAAAGGAGGTTGTTTGGCCCCAAAATTGGTGAGATTGTGTACATCCTTGCCAGGATCAACTCCCTGGGTCTTTGAGCTTTCATATGAGAGCAGAATGGCTAAAAACTGCGTTTGAAAAATCGTCCTAAATGCCCGAGAAAGTTGAGGGTTGCCACTTCAAAAATGGCTGCAATCAGGCTTCGGAAAAATCACTTTTTGGGGTTTGATTTTGTTTTGTGGGAATAATTAAAAATGTCGTTGGTTTTAACCCAGAAAAAATTGAAAAGAAATTGAAAGATAAATGACCAGACAAGACTTTCATTTGTGTTTTAAAAATCTCAGGGATGTTGGCGTGCATGTTATTGGACCCTGAACAGTGCTGATTTTACACTGTTTTCAGTGGTGCTTGAATTAGTGGACTGTACCCTCCAATGCCGCCCTCAGCTGCTGCTGTATTTCTGGGGGATGATCAGCGGTCGTGACCCGCGACCTGCAAGCTCGGGGACAATCTGTGGAGGTACCCGTTGTGTTGTAGCGCTCTCCAAGACACATAATCGTTGAGCGATGGTGGACCCCGCACAGCCTGGCCACTGCCCGTCAGTTCCTTTCGGCTTGGAGCGTGCCAGTGACTCGGTCTCTCAGGTTGTGACAGTCGTGACATCACGGATACAAGGGTTTAGCGTCATTTTGGTGCCATGTATAGACAAGGGTTGAATTCAGGACATGACTGTCAAACGCATATCTGGGAGTCACTCATGTGTAACTATTAGCATAAAATATACAAACACAGTTTTGGCGCTCACCCAAATCACTCAACCGGAACGCGATCCAAATTGACGTTTATCTCTAAAATGCTCAAAATCTGAAGCTTGCACCATTTTTACAATGCAGGTGCTACTTCCTAAAACTATGAGAATTTTACGGTTTTTTTCCTTGAGTGCACATTTCTGGTTTAATCCTCCAAGTCCAGTTTGCTAAGTCATTATACGATTCCCTTCTATTGTTCGTTACGACTTCATTGATGACATTTATATGGATTTCGAATTGGAGGTAGACTTTCACTATTTTATGTTAATTCATTTTCCAATTGGTGCAAGGGTATTGATATGGACTTATTGTTTATGAATTTATAGTCCAATTATAAAGTCTTCCTGTTATGTCCAACTTCATACAAAGAACCTTCTCTGTAATCATCAGGCATTCATAATGCGGTTTTTTTTATTTAGTCATAGTGGGGTGTCTTTTTTAACAGTTATCCCATTCATTTTAGTTGTAGAGCAAATAAGTGTGCGTTTTAGTCATTCTTCTTTCAGTTATAGGTATTCAAAATAATCTCCATTTTCCCAAGTTGCGCGTTGAATTTCTTCACTACATTATACAATGTCCATCGTCAAGTGGAGAGCCTCGTAGAATGCTGTGAATTTGTCGCTGACATCTTACGCATTGAGCATTACCGCCCACGTGATGTCAGATAAACAAATGCCTAAAGGCATAGATCCCCGAGTTCCACCCCCCCAAAAAAAAACATTGCCTGAAATAACCAAATAATGAGAGCTCCCAATGAGCCAACTGTATCTATATACACAATGTACATGTACATTCACCGACTATAGCATACATGTGTATCGTTGCTTACATAGTGTACATCAAAGTTAACGGCAATGTCCATGCACACCATAACACATTAATATCACAAACAAAACCAAGAAGTACTCACTGGGGGCTTCTATGTCGACTGTACTACAAATTTGCCATGGGACTACGCCTACACAAAAACGGGTGCTACTGAAATCAAAATTTACCCATGCTTTCCGGGTCTCTCTAAAACTTGAACTTCGTGGCGAGCCCAGTGAAAGTCTTCGACTGTTTCTTATACTGTCTTGTTTGTATTCATGCGCAATCATAGTACATGTAATGTGAGCTTCAATTAATACGTCACCAAAATACCGCATAATACCAGGGGGTTATTATTGTACATTACAATAATTTTAATACATTCAATCAGTTGTCTAAAATATTCTTGGAACTTATTTTCCTGGTGGATGTCTACCAAGTACTACCAGTCCTTGCGCGCGGCAAGCACAAAGGTCATCAAGCAACAATTCTTGACACACAAACATGCAAATGACCCAAATACAATGTAGATCAGCTACACAATATGCACATATTCATGTGTTAGAAATGTAACAGTGAGGTCGCCCTTTTTAAAGCACGGTCCCCTACAGTAATAATAACACTAACAGCAGAACTTTTGGATTGCGCTTTTAGGTAATATCAATGCTTTCAGATTTTATTGAAGGACCCTCTGAAACTTAATTTCTGATGGGCCGATCAAATTTGGCTCTGATAAACTATGATCTTAGATTTAAATCATTTTTAAATGTATTCCGACTACTGGATAAAACGGTATCAACAAATTGGATGACAGAAATATGATACACATTTATTCTCTGCATACAAGACAACATAATGCTACTACAAATCATATCCAACTGTGTTACATAACCTTGTCATCTAAGCGTATAGATCACTCTCAATAATTTGCACACAATTTGTATGGGCAGCCAAAGGTTACAGAAACTCACCTTTTTGGTTTTTTTTATGATTTTACCTCGAATTCCTTGAACTGTACATTTGTCCATTAATTTTAAAGAGGGTTGTGTTTTTATGTAGTGCGTGCGTTACTGTGGTGTTCTGACAGTTGTGTGGGATTTTTAAGGCTTTGTGAACTGCTCTTCTTTTGTACTGTCATGTAACCATAGTTTTAGAAACCACATGTAGGAAATACACGACCATGACATAAAAAGAGCAGACCCTAAACAGATTAGAAGAGAAAAGTAGAATGCGAGTTTGGTACCTCTTAATGTCGTAACTCTGTGTGTGAGGATCACGATCAGAACAATTCTTTTTATTGCACTAGCTCGCTTCAAAGATGGGAAGTGTTCTTCCGTTTTTCTGCGAGCTACAATGACGTTAACACTGTGCTCCTTCAATATTAATAAACATACTGTCACGGAAGGTAAGGTAATAGTAGTGATTCCCGTCTACAAAGGTAATTTACCCCTCCCCGACGGTCTCTCGACCAATCAGAAAGCCGGATTTTTCCCCACATACCCCTCATTTGCATAAAATGTGGAATGGGAATATTTCACTTTATACGGGGTGTGAGTAATTTTGTGAGGGGCTGTGGTGGTATTAATTAATACAGGAACGTACGATTTTATGTATGGTTTGGTGTAATTTGGTGAGAGGTGTCATTTTTACACATACAAAGAACTGTTTTGTATAATGGGTAGGAATACACGTGTAAACGCCTTCAATCGTGGACTCTCTATTGTTCCTCTTTTGTTCATACTTTAACTTTCGGGAGACCTCCCATATGTTTTGTACACGTTTCCCGTGGACTCTTCGGCAACCGTGGACCCTATTGTAGTATTGGCCCACGATTTGAATGTGTATACAAACTCATGCGTACACACAACGCCATCATACCCTACATTTTGTGGACTTCTTTTGTGCAGACGGGTCCACATTGTGTATGCCACACCTGCAAAGGCAAAAGAAAAATGAAGTGAAGGTGAAAAGGAAACTAATACACACTTCCATAAAACTAAATTAATTAAAATGTTGTTATTGTCATTTGTTGTTTTGTTGTTATTGTTGTACTTTAGGTTACTCTAGCCGGCAAGCACTATGCAGCAAATTTTTGAATGATATTTTCTTCAAAAGTTGAATTTGGTTAAACTTCATTCAGGGGCAATGACTTTGCAAAAGCTAACCTTGTGTTGTGTCAATTGGGTTGAATTATTTCCTCAATTTATTTCCATCCATTACATAATTATGTCTCACCCTGTTATTTTTAATATTTTTTACAAAGAATTCAATCCATGTTCAGTCTTCACGTTTGTCATTTTATAAACAAAAGACAAGGGAATCTAAAATTTAAATAAACTCAGATTTGTTGACCAGAAGTAAACTCTAGTGCAAAAACGTATATGACCGTGAGTAAAAAGAAATTCTACTGCATCATGGCAAGTTGAACAACTTGTATTAAACTTACTATGAATGGACTTCACCCGAGTTTCAACTCAGTAGAATTAATCAAGAAACCTTTTAAATGTTGTTAAAGGTCAAAAATCGAGCCGAATGTCGAAACAACCGACTACACTAGCATAATAGAAAGTAAATTGCAACTGAGCATGATGGAAACAGTCAGGAATTATATTATGAATTACAGGTATGTGGATTTCACCCATGTTATAAAGAATTGGTATGCGTACCAGTTACATTTCGTATGGAGATAAAAAACAATAACCAGTCCGAGTCACCTGTTAAGAATAAAATTTCATCCTCCTGCTGCACCTTATAGCATCAAACTGTCGTTTAAAACAAAACCAGCTCTACACATCGTCTACATTATAACCAAAAGCGGAGTCTTGACTGCCACAAAATAAACCTCACCTGCAGTGATGTAGAGTGGTTGGTTTCTTGCTGTGGAAGACGCCGACATGTACCGATATGTGGCGCAGTAACTGTTGTACTGAAGACCGCAAGACCTTTGAAGGACTATCCAGACTTACCAGGTGACAAACTTAAAAAAACAAACGAAA